TTTTAAGTCAGATCAGGGCTCAAAATTATTTTTTTCTACTGTCCCAGTTGGGACTGGTTGGGCAATAAGCACTTGCCATGTTTTCAATTGGCAGAAAAAACTACTTTATTCTATTTTTATTCGACATTTTTTAATTATTTTTTTCTTGTATATTTTTTCATCTTTTCATATAAATCTTACCAAGATATTTTTTGCTAATGTTAGATTTTCATCACAAAATGTTTTTACTAGTTTTAATCTGCAATGAATTTTATTATTTTTAATAATTTGTATTATTATTTTTTAAGTTCTTATGTTTTTTTTTCTTTCCATTAGAATAGCAGGGAGACTTTTTTTTCATAAAATGTTAAATTTTTTTCCACAAAGAATTACCAGGTATTAATTTGCAATAATCAATTATTTAAATTTTTTTATTCTATATTTATAAAATACTTTTTCTTGTATTTTTTTTTCCATAGGAATCTTAGCAAGATAAATTTTCGTTAAATGTTATATTTTTATCACAAAAATTATATTTTAATTTGCAATAATTAATATTACTATTTTAATAATTTTATTCCATTTTTATAAATGTTATTGTATTTTTTATTTCCAGGAGATTATTTTTTAAATGTTAAATTTTTTGTCACAAAAATAACTAATTAGCAATAGTTTAAAATTGCTTTTTTATTATTTTTAATAGAGATGCACCGATCGACCGGCCTGGGACCGGAATTAGCCGATTTGCCGGATGATCGGCCGATTCCGAGCCGGTTCGTTTTGACGTCGTACATACGCTCACATCCGCATGTAAACATGTCGTTTCGCGCGAGAATGATTCTGATTTTATTGCTTTCAGTGTAAACGGAGACTGATAATGTATTGATGTCGTGCCCGATGATGCTCGCACAGCCTGAGTGAGTGTGTGAGAGAGACTCGTGCAGAAATCAAAACAAATGAGCGCAACAGAACACACAAAGTAACTCAAAGAAAGTTATAGATGCATACTGCGGTAGAAAAAAAAAAATATTTATAATATATGATTTAGGTAAGCAACATTACACGAACAAGATGCTTGCAATATCAACACGATTGCAATGTGACACTGATTTTATACAATAGTAGTTCAATAAACAAGAAGTTAAAATTAAGTGACTTACATTTTAGACACAATATTGACTGTTTTTGCTCAATTTCGCTGACGAAAATAGTTCCAATCAAAGCCACAGCAGAACTGTTGTGTAACACAGCGGTGTTTCATTACTGAATGAATCTGCGTTTTTGAACGAATCGAGTGAGTCAATGATTCAGTGGCCCATTCATAAAGACAGTCACTTGCCTCGTTTCTGAATGAATCAGCCGTTTGAACGAATCGGTTGAATAAATGACTAAATGACTCACTCATTTAAAGAGTCATTTGCCGCCACCTACTGGTAGTTTGATTTCATATTTAAAAACATCATTGCATTTTTTCCCAAAATTTCGTATTTGTATGTTTAAAAATATTTAAACCATTAATCTTTAATAAACATTTATAACATTAAAACATAATATATAACATTATATATATATATACAGTGGGTACGGAAAGTATTCAGACCCCCTTAAATTTTTCACTCTTTGTTATATTGCAGCCATTTGCTAAAATCATTTAAGTTAATTTTTTTTCCTCATTAATGTACACACAGCACCCCATATTGACAGAAAAACACAGAATTGTTGACATTTTTGCAGATTTATTAAAAAAGAAGTATCGTGAAAAGCGCTGTACAAATAAATAAACTTGACTTGATAGTGGGAAATGACATCTGTTTTTATATACAGCAACTCATTTTCAGTTAATTGCTATTTCTGCCTCTTTCTAGTCACAGAGCACTTTATTTTGAGAGTTGTTTAAGTGAGAGAACATCGGTAACTTAGTACAGATTGGGGGAGTTGTAATGTTTAATAATTTATTTTATTATGTAAATAATTTTTTGCATTGATAAAGTATAGATTTTGTTTGTATATGCTGTCAATTATAGTTCTTAGAAGGAAAATCGGAATCAGCAAAAATCATTATCGGCAGGTCACACTGACAGAAAAATCGGAATCGGCCAAGAATATTGCAATCAGTGCATCTTTAATTTTTTTTTTTTTTTACTGGAATAAGCTATGATTAGCTCCATGTAATTGTGACTATATTCATAATAGGGCAGTCAAAATGGCTGAAAAACTAAATTAGAATTTTGTACTTAAATATTATCACACAGTACATTTTTCATTTTAAAACATGAGATGCAGTGGGATGCGGAAAAACCCCCGCCATAAAGTCTCGATATATGTTTTTTTAAAAGCTAAACCTACATTAATTTTACATGGCTTTCTAAACATGCGGCTCCTTTGTGCGAGATGCGAGTGCAACGGTGATAGACGTCCCTCTAGAAAATGTGATAAATATGCGTTCTGTGCCGTGTTAATTTCGTTGACGAATAATTTTCGTCATAATTGTCGTCAACGACATTTTTTTCACAGACGACGAGATTTATTTTAAATTCGACGAATATTCGAAATTAAAACAAATTTTGACAGCCCTAATCCATAAACACACTTTTGCAGGAAAGCAATGGCATATTAAGAAAAAAAAAAACCCTAAAGGGTTTGTAATTTTCAACTCATTCTTAATGATGCTTAATAAAAAAAAAACTATCATAATTCTTGCAACTTTAACCAAACTTCATGTCAGTCAGCTAGACAAATTCACAACAATGTGCAATGCATCACACAAAAACAAATAGCCAAGACTGACAAATGTAAAGATAATGCAAACTGGCCCAAAAGAGCAGGTGACGGTTTTGACCTGAAACTCCCTCATGTGCTCCAGACCAGCGGGCCCATACTGTTGAACTCAGATGCAGGTGCTAATACTACTAAAACTAGGTCAGTACCTCAAGATATTAGCAACCACAAGTCTCTTTCTTGAACAGCAAGGTGTATCTTCTGTGCACATAAAAAATTTCATGAACAGTTATGCCTGAGATCCTTCAGCATACATAGCCTAATGATTAATGAAGAGACTCTCTTTTCCCTGCAAATCTAAACAAATTGAGGCACTTTGATAAGTGGCGAAACTGAGACAAAATAAGGGGCACTGATAATATTTCTTATCAGACACCGAGCACAATTTGCCTGTGGTTCAGGTGTTAGCTAGACACATTAGGTTTTTACTGTAGAAACGGATGAGGTGCTCAGTCCAACAACTTGAATTGCATTTACGTGACTGGCATGTAGGCATACAGGCAATCTTACATCAACTGCAAACACACAATTCATGCAGTCGGTGGTTGTAGGTTTGATTTATGACCTTAATATCCACAAATGTCTATATTAAACTGTCTTTATAGGCATTGATCAATACATTAAAGCAGTTCTATCTGCACTGGTGCTCTGTATAAAATGTAACGCTACTCATTTGCCTGGCAAGGGTGGAGAAAGAGGAAGGATTCAGTTACATTTTCTTCCAACAACACTTTCCACACTTCTACTCCAAACTGTTGCGCTTCAGACTCTTGCACATCAGTCTGTTCAATTAATTATTTACAGTGAAGAACAGATACTCTGGCTGTGACAGTTTATTCAAAGTAAATCGCATATGATGCCCAGAAATGTTGTCAAGACAAGCAGCTCACTAGGTTTTAAGATACAAAATATCATGCCCAAAAATGTTGTTAAGCTAGGCAGCTCAGTAGGGTTTCCAGACACAATCAATCAAACCTTCAATGCACAAAATGCTGTCTAGACAGGCAGCTCACTAGGTTTTGAATCAACCAATCATACCTATGATGCCCAAATTTTTACCTAGGTAGGCAGCTCAACCATTCATTCAATATACTAGGCAACTAAGTTTGAAAAAGCATGTATGCTCCACATATTTGGATATTTAATTCATACAACCGTCAAATTAAGTTGTAAACATCCATTTAAAAGCACTCCTCATAACTTGAAGGAGTGCCGGAAAGCTGTTACAAGAAAAAGGATGTGTCATTTGTGGCAGCTTATTTAAAATAGGTTAATACCCTGGTCACTACTAACAGTTTATTTTCGGCATATGCTTTTCCATCTGTAAAAGAAGCAAAAACGTTTCAGACTGCTGCCATTCTACAATAAAACAAACCGCAACAGAAATTAACCTAAGACTCTCGAGCTAAAAAACTTCCTTTTGGTAGACGAGTAGAAAAATACTTACTAAGCGACCAAAGCAAGAAACATCGGGCAACACTGTATCCGTTTTGAGAGTTTATGGAAAGCATGGTAGAAAGAAGCGCGGGTACCGCACGCTGCCAGCTCGCTGTAAATGTGCCGTAGCAGAGTATTTGCACTGATCCTGTAACCAACAGTCACTACTGTGCGTGCCGATCATTACCCAGCTTTGTTTTGCGAAGACATTTCCTGTTGAACGCACGTCTCAGCTGCGCCCTCTAGTGACCGCAACGCTAACTACTACAAAAGGGGCAGTGCTTCAAGCGCGATTAAAATGTTTGTTAAAGGGATAGTTCACAAACATGATAATTTAGTCAGACAGAACGGCGGAACAGCTTCATTCACTTCCAATAAAATATGGCAACAGTTGACATGACGCGTAAACAATCACTTTATACTTTGTCTTCAGTCATGAAGTAACTTAAACACTTTAAAATGTTAACCTGTATCCCACTTTCGATCAAAAACCCAATAACTTCCATAAAAACACAATGAGCTTTCAATCTTACTGAAATATAGGCCCACTGAATGATATAACGTTAGCTCTATTAAGTTTTAATACAACTGTCACGACTAACCTATAACATTTAGTCTTTTCCTCGCGTTAAATATGCGAACAGACATGAAATATTGAACTGGTCAATTTGTAATATCTAGAACTTTAAAAAGTAAACATTTGTCTTGTCGAGCTAATAATAAACCCCTCGACGCCATTAAAATAACGACAGGAGATCGTATATTTGTGCTATTTATCCCATAATCTCGTGCGGTTACCACAGCAACCCATCTGACGCTCGGTTGCGCCGCGCCGAAAGCTCTCCTCTGGAACTGTGAACGCTATCACACCGCGCGGGCTGGACCGAGCAGGGCCGCCGCAGCTGCGTTTGGAAGTTTCTGGAAAGTTCGCTGAAAAGCGATATGGTCGCGAGGACTAAAATAGTGTCGACTCTCGATTACCGACAGTGACTGGACTGACACCACGTACTAGCGGGTTTGTTTATTTGTTTATCTGACCTGAACACACCGTGCTCGGCGTACGGACCGGAGACCAGGATGGCTGTCGTGGGCTTTGATGTGGTTTTTCAGAATCGCTGTATTGCTGTGGTCAAAAGCGGAGGAATTGAGACCGTGTCCAATGAATTTACAGACAGATGCACGCCGTAAGTGGATGCTGTGCTTGCTAATTATAAAGAGATAAAGCTTTCATTTCATGTATCTTCAGTGTATCAGATGAATATTGACACTCCATATGTGAATATCCACCTAAACTGAAAGTCAAGTACAAGTCTAGTTGATAAGTTGCTTGTTTCCGCATTTCATACACTTGTCAATGACATTGACATTCCAAAACATCTGAAACATGATGTACATGTGAGCTAAAATCTGTTATTTTAATCCTTCAAAAGTTTAATACCCCTGAACCTTTTTGTTTTAGAGCTGTTGTGTCATTTAATTCAAAGAACAGAAGCATTGGTAATGCTGCAAAAAAACAGGTGGGCATTCCTGTTCTCATCTGTGATGATGATTATGAATGAAGCAAAAGTGTCTTATATTACCATTCATATTTTTTACTTGTTCTAGATGATAACCAATACTGCGAGCACAGTCTCTCATTTTAAGAGACTGCATGGCAGATTGTTTCAAGATCATTCTGTGCAAGCAGAGAAGGCTAGTTTACCATATGACCTGGTACCACTAAATGATGGGAAGGTTGGAATCAAGGTAAACACTGTGTTTATTAGTCCCATAAAGGATCATTTAAGATGTAGTTGGGTTTGTTTAGCAGTGCATTAGCATTACATACTGTAACTTTCTCACAAATCTCCTCTGTAGTGAATGGGTGCCGTCAGATTGAGAGTCCAAACAGCTAATAAAATTATCACAATAATCCACTAGTATTGACACCACTCCAGTCCATCAATTAATGTCTTGTAAAAGTAAAAAAAAAAAAAAAAAAAAAGGTTGTGTACAACAAGAATCTTCAAGAATCTTATCAGGTAATCAGGTATATATACTGTATATATATATATATTTATATATATATATATAATTTACTCACCATTATTATAATTTACTCACCATTTTGACAAAAAGGGCAAAAAAGTACTTCAACTAGTAATAAAACTAGTCCATATGCACGTTATTTCAAATTTTATTACAGTTTTGTGTGAGAAACAACCAAAATTTTAGCCATTTTTGACTTAATGACTTTGCAAGACAATGAAGAATCAGTGATGTTTAATTTTCCATTGTGACATATGGACTATATTTGATTTGAGAGCTGCAGTAGATGTAAAAATAATGGGTAAAAATTATTTAATTTAACACAAAGCTTCCATATGGCTTGAGATGACTTATAGCCTAGTCTATAGTGTAATACTTTTATGGTTCTCTTGTTGTTGTTTTTATTTATTTATTTTTATTGTGTGCGTGTGTGTCAGTCTCTGGTCAGTCTGGACTGTCTGTAAGAACTCGCATACCTGTCAACCCTCCCGTTTTTCCCGGGATTCAAGTTCCAAAGTAAGGTGCTGCTGCGCTGCTTTGTTTACTGCGGTTACCGGGGAAACGGCTATATTCCTGGCGAAAAGCACCCGCCCCCCCAGTCTTCCGTATTTGGACAGGTATGATGAAAATGCCTTTTAAAAAAAAGTTTACAAATATTGTAAAAAAAAAAAAAAAAAAAAAAAAAAAAGTGTGTTTGTAACAACTCCATCATTATGATGTTTTTTTTTAAACATCAAACTATTGCATCCAGGTAAAATATGAGTCCTTTATCCATAATTATGCTTTCTCCAGGGAAATGTTGACTCCTCTGAATCAGGACAGAAATATGCACAGATCAAGAAAACAGCTGAAAACAATTCTAAATGGTGGATTTTGTTGTGAGAGGACGAGAGATGAACTTTTTCTTTGGATGAATCATTATTAAATGAATTATGGACTTGTATTTTGTCCAGAAGTGAAGGTTTAAAGTTAAAACACCTTAATTTTCACTTCACAAGACATTAATTGATGGACTGGAGTCGTGTGGATTACTTGTGGATTGTGATGTTTTTATCAGCTGTTTGGACTCTCATTCTGACGGCACCCATTTCCCGTAGAGGATCTATTGGAGGGGATTGATGTAAATTTCTCCATATCTGTTCTGATGAGGAGACAAAGTCGACAGTGAATATGCTTTCAGATTTTTTTTTTTTTCATTTTTGGGTGAACTGTCATGTTATTTTTTGATAAAAAAATAAGATTGTGACTTTCATTGTCTTGATTAGGTCATGTACCTTGACCAGGAGCACCATTTCCGCATCGAGCAGGTCACGGCTATGTTGTTGACCAAACTGAAAGACATTGCAGAAGCTAATCTGCAGAAGAAAGTGGTGGAGTGTGTCATCTCTGTACGTCTTTGCACTGAAGCTGTGAATATTGCAAGAAATAATTAATTTTCATGATATTTAATGGATACCAGGGGCATGTACCAGAAATAGAGGCTTTTAGTTAATTAGAAATTCTCCTAAAATTATTTATAGTGCTAATAATGTATTACAGTAATTTTTATTCTTGTCATCATGATATTTTAGAGAAAAGGCCTTGCTTTATTTTCAGACAGCAGTAACATTTAACCAGGCCCTTTTTAATTTGGACATAAACCACAAATGTGCAAGCCACCAATCCGATGGTTTGTTTGTTTGTGTCATTTCTTTGGCCATACAGATGATTTTGTCACGTATAGATCCCCTCATTCTTCACTGATTCAGAAAGGACGTCTGTGCTGGATGCTGCCAAGATTGCCAGCTTGAACTGCCTGAAGCTAATGAATGACAGCACTGCAGGTATCTTTTGAATTAATGAAACTCACAACAACAGTGTCTTTGCCACATCTGAAGCAATTTTGACAGTGTCATTTATCATTCCAGTGGCATTAAACTATGGCATATACAAGAAAGATCTTCCAGGCTGTGATGAGAATCCAAAAATTGTGGCATTTGTGGACATGGGCCACTCAGCTCTCCAGGTGTCTGTTTGTGCTTTCAACAAAGGCAAACTGTGAATCTCAATCAAAGTCAGACGCTCGTGTAGATCCCCAACTTTGCATGTTCACGCACGTCAGTGAATGCTCTGCATTTTGCAGGTGCTGTCGACCGCCTTTGATCCTTATTTGGGATGGAAAGACTTTGATCAGAGGCTGGTGGAATACTTCTGTGCTGAATATAAGTCTAGGTACAAGATGGATGTGAAGTCCAAGGCTCGAGCTATGTTGCGACTGACACAAGAATGTGAGAAACTCAAAAAACTGATGAGCAGCAACTCCACAGACATTCTCCTCAACATTGAGTGCTTTATGTACGATAAAGACGTATGTGGGAAAATGAACAGGTATGTGACTGTAGTGTTATTTAGAGCTATGAATTGTTAATGCACAATATATCTGTACCATATCAGTTATTGGCCGATACAAGAGGATTTTTGTGTTAAAAAAAAAAAAAAAATTGTATCCATTATTGTTTAGTATTTAAAGGAGTGTTTACACAACACTGTTTGCAACTAAAAATTGAAAAACTTTTTAAGCATTTTGGCCATTCATTTACACAACAACACTGTTTTGGGGGCCTGCAAATCTTTGAAAACACGTAGTGTTTCTTTACAAAATGACATTGACAATTACTGTCTTGGCATACATAATAATGCTTTTTAGTCGTTTTTGCAGATGTGCGTGAACCGGACTCGTTTTGACATTGTTGTCGTCTTTACACAAAACTTAAATTAAAAAAAAAAAAAAATCAGTTTTTAGTACAGTCTTTGTTGTGTAAATGTATACTAAATGTGCATGTAAATTTCTCGTAATTTTACATTTTGATTTTATTTGGGTCTAACGCGTATTTAACTCTTATTGTATAAACACTAACAATTTATTAACACTCTTAAATGTAATATTTAGCAAACTTTAAAATTAACATATATTTTTCATACTGCACATGTACTGCCCACTTGTAGCATTTTAAACAATTGATTTTTTTGTTTTGATGTGCTATTTAGTTATATTCGTAATTTTTTTTTTTTTAAAGTATAGAATTTTAATATCAGCTTTTTATCGGTTATTGGTTTAACAATACTATGCATAACGCACATATATATCAGCTTATCAGAATTAGGTTTTACATGTAAACTTGCAAATTTCACAAAGAAAATATTTTTTCATACTTTGTGATGTTTTGATGCTTACATTCATTTGTAGAATTTTGAACAAATTTTTTATTTTATTTAAATAAAATAGCATAGAATTTTAATATCTGCTATTTATCGGTTACCAGGCATGAAAATATTTATCATCTTATTGGTATAATTCTTAATATCAGTGCATCCCTACTTTGATAGTACATTCATTAAGCTGCTATTATTTTATACATAATCAAATATTGATAAACTGCATAATATTCATATTATATTGGGAGCTGCCTTTTCCACTTAGTGTAAGTAATGCACATTCCACACAAGCTTGTATTCTAATGTTTTTTTCAGGGATTGTGGTTTTCCCAATCCTCTAATAATGAAAGTTAAAGGTACTGTTGACTAAACGTTTGTTTATGCATCAGGGTCTAAAAATCTGAAAATCTGTCATTTAAAATCAAAATTAAACCTTAAATAAAGTTTTAGGTTTTCCTAAAAAATCATTTTATGATAAAGTGAGAAAGAAATGTAAAAAACAATATTCAAGAAATATTAACATTTATGGGTTGCTAATCGAATAAAAACATTTTGGCATGTACTACTGGTCAAAAGTTTGGGTTTGTTAGATTTTTTATATATATATATATATATATATATATATATATTTTATTTTTTATTTTTTATTTTTTTTTGATAGAAGCCTATAATGCCCACATTTAGATTGTATTTATTTGACCAAAAATACAGTAATACAGTACAATACAGTAATACTGTGAAATAATTTTAGTTAAAAATCACTTTTAATTTTATTTAAATATATTGTAGAATGTAATTTATTCCTGAGATGGCAAAGCTGAATTTTCAGCTGATTTTTCAAGTCATTACTCCAGTCTTAAGTGTCACGTGATTCTTCAGAAATCATATTAATATGCTGATTTGATGCTCAAGAAACGTTTTTATTAACAATTTCAGGATTCTTTGATAAACAGAAAGTTTGAAGAACAGTGTTAATTTTAAATAAACACTTTTGATTAATGTAATAAAAGTAAACATTTCTTATTTAAAATACGTGAACATTTTGGAACGTTAGTATAGATCATGTGACCTTCTTTGAAAAGAAGACCTTAAAAATACTCAAATCGAAACAGAAAAGCTAAAATTTAAATTAAAAATCTAAAACTAAAAACCTTAAATACTAAGCCATTTTGCAATTCCTATAAATTTTACTTTTCTGTCAAATTATGTTAATAATCAAATTTATAATTCATTAAGCTGTATTAAATTCAAAAAAATCTAAACAAATGCACTTTTACTAGTAGTCTCAGACTTTTAGTAAAAATAACTGTGCATGTAACAGTTGTTTTAGGGATGAAAACGAAAGAAACATAGCTGTCTTTTAGTATGAGATGGTTTCAGTAAATCTGAAATGATGATTTAAAAGCTGTGATAGATATTTAGTTAGCCTTAGAAGTGTGATTTTGGTATCTTTGACAGCACATGAAGCCATAAACACATAAAGACATTCTGGTAGATTTTTGAATATCAAAGCTATTCAAAAAGCCATCAGTCATTCTCACCATCTGGCGCTCACTTAAATTCCTCTTCTTCTTTCCTGACAGAGCAAAATGATACAGCAAAATCATACAAAAAATTATACAACAATTACTACAAACACAAGCTGGAGGGTCCCTATCAGACGTCTATTAATGCTCAAGTAATGTATCTTCCATGTGGCTTTTCCCAGATAACACGGCATTACCTGTTGAGTGACATGTAATCTATTTAGCTCACAGGGACTGTTACACTGTAAAAAATTATATGCTGAAAAAGCCATGACAACTTATGTTTTGAAGTTACTTTAACTCATAAAAATAATTTAAGCAATTTCAACTTTTTTTTATAAGTTATACTAGATTCAACTTGATTTTTTAAGTCAGTTTAATGTTACTGAAATTCAAAGAGCCCAATTTAGTTCAGTGAACTTAACATTTTAAGTTGTAGCTTTTTGGCACTAACCGGCCAAATCTCTGAACATGGATTCATGCGCAGGAGTCAAATTTGTACATTAATTTAATATCAGAGTCCCTTCCAAGAAAAAAAATATTCAGCAAATCAAGACATTAGACTCATGTTTAATACATAAAGACATCGCAGTGCAACATCAAACAAGGAGACACGGGCAGACTATACAGTGAACTAACTAAACCGCGGAGGAATTTCAGACGAACAACTCATGAACTTGAGGGAGCTGTCAGTTGGGCTGGCGGCGTGAAGAAGCATATTCAGCGTGGATGAGGCGAGTGAATGCTTGTGTAACAATTGTTGGGAGATTATTGTTCATTTTAGCAGAATAGAGCAGAATTAGTTATGTTCTGTCATTGTTTTCCAAACTGTGTTTAACAGTTACCTTTCAAGTTTTGTATATCTGATACGGTGGCCACAGTGCTGTGCTGCATCAGCACTGCAGATTGTAATGTAACGTTTGAGATTTGACACAAATGTGTTTCTCCACCTGTTAAACATCGTTAAGATGGGCAATTTGAGCGATTATAGGTGTATTTTACCGTTAAAGTGGGTAAGTTACCAGTTGGCTTTGCTGAGCAGGCTCGGCATTTTCGCGCCCACTGGAGGTTTATCCCAGTCAGTCAGGCTTCGTGCGTTTGAGTTGGTATTCGTTACTGAGTAAAGTTAAGCGTTTATTTTTTTATCAACCGTTCAAGCTGGGATAATATAAGTTAACTTGAGGTAGACGACGCCCGAGCTGTTGAACACGACGAATGAACTAATCGTCACCAGTTTTGTCAGTTTGTTCTATTCAAACTAAGTTAGATGAACATATGGAACTTCTTAATATGATTTAAGAGACCACGATTCAAACAGTTGTTAACCTTGTTCATTTGTGACTACTTTTTTAGAAAGACGTTTTTGTCAGCCGAACAACCGACATGTTAAACGTTACACTCAGTTGGACGCACTGTAGGCCTAACGTTACATCTGTTCCTCACAAGCTCGTTTTCTGTGCCATTCGTTATTTTATTGGCCATCATCATATATTTTATATATAATTTTGTTTTACGATTGCAAATTGCTTACTGGTAACAGATTACAGGCAACAGTAAATGCAAACAAATGCATTATGTTGTATGAATCGGTCATATTTTAATCATGAACAAAAAGTCTGTAAAAGTGTTGTGTAGCTTACATCTTTGGGCTAAACTGTAATTAGCAAGTAACCAACAATTCCCCGTTTACCTCCCTTTGTAGGCTATGACAGCACATTACAGTGAGGATCACCATCCAGCTTAATATTTTTTTTAGGCAACTCAGGTTATTAAAGGGTTATGAGGCTGTTATATAGGAAATGTCTTTGCTTGTGTGTGTGTGTTGTTTACAAGTAAATTTAAGTTGAATAAATTATTTTTTTTTTACAGGCACACGCTTGTGAGACTGAGACTGGATGAGGGGTAAGTTTTGCATTTCTGTACCAAATAAAGAGTATAAACTATATCTTAAGATAAGTCAATATTT